CCCATCCTCCCCCCCCCCTCCCCCGCTGTCCCCAGGTCTGTGTGTGAGCCCGTGGAGCTCGACAGCGGCTCGGGGTCCAAGGGCAAGAACTCCGCCTCAAGCGCCGCCGCCACCTCTGCCGCCCTCTTCTGCGGCGCGGCCGCCGCCCTGCTCATGCTGTGACGCGGCGCCGCCCTTCTTTCCATTCTTACAGAGCAGCCACCTGCTGTTGCACCCGTTGTCGCCGGGTTGCCAATCCGCGCCGCACGCAGCTTGAGGGATATTCGCGAGGCGCCGCGGACGGCAGGGCGTCCCACGCCCTGCGCCAGCTGGGTCAGTGCGGGGGCTGGCGCCAGCAGGGCTGCTGCGTTCCTTGTGTTTGACTTGGCTGACGCCGGGGTCAGGATGCTCACGGTGCAAGGCAGATCAGGCTGCCTCGCATCTGTCAGGTGGCTGGCAGGCGCTGCCGCAGAGGCGTCACGCTGACAGCAGCCTTCAGCCTTGCCGTGCAAGGCCGTCACAGCGGGCTCTATGCGATTGGCAACCGGTGCCGCGCTCTTTTCTAGGTTGTTTTGGCGGGAGCGTCATCAAGCCTCCCGCGGCCACCTCTTTACACATATGGATGCTTACTTCCGGCTGTCTTTTTTTAAGCACGGTTTTGTACTTCAAAGCACGCACTGCCTGCCTTCCGGGTTAATGGCCCCGCACTGCCGCGCGCCTTTGCGCCGGAGCACTGCAATCTCCACAGCGACATGTAAGGTGAACCCCAAACATGGGCGGCTAGCTGGGGCCCCTGATGCAGTCCGAGGGTGGCGCCCCGCAGTCCAGCCTTTGATTGTGGTGGCAAGCAGATGCGGGGGCGCGTCACCAGATTTCCATAGCCACCAGGCAGTCGCTCCTTAATGCGCCAGAAAGACGATGCGAAGCTCTCAGAATGTCGGAGCCGTGGGTGATGCCCCCAAAAGCGTCATGTGCGCCGGCCGGCTGGCAGGGACAGGGGCCGCATGCCTCTCGGCGCACAGCGGCCGTGTACCAGGCGGCGCAGCGTCGCGTCTGCTGCAACAGACACCCTTGCGCATCCCTGACCCATAGCTCACTCCAGCGGGGGCCAGTCACTCCTGGATCCGGAGGAACGGGCCCAGCTGCACCCTCTGCTCGCCCCTGACGGCGGCGGCTCATGGGGACTCCCGCACATCAAGAGCGGCTGGCCAGCACCTAGGTGGTTAGTGCCGCACCTGCCCCCCGCCCCCTGTGGGATGCGAGTGATTTTGCATGGGCTCACCCTGGCAGCTCACGGTGGGGCTCTGAAGCCCTGCGATTCTCCCCAAGAGGACCTCGCGCGCAGCAGCGCGTTGCATATGGAGCGTGCTGCGCAGCCCAAAACCCCCGCACAGACTGCATGTGTGGCTGGCAATGTCTGACGCCATGCTGGAGTGCGATAGGCTGTGAAAACTACCATGCGCTGACAGTGATAACGGGTGAAACGAACAGGCCGCCGTACAGTACGGTACCACGACACTGGCCAGCTCGGATCCCGCGAAGCGGGTGCGAGTGGCAGCCATATGAACCTGGCCATGCACCGTGCAGATCAAAGACGCGTAAAGATCGCGCCCGCGTTGCTCTTGATTGTATCGACGTCACTGTCACCCGCGGTTGGCCAGCACAATGATGAGACCGTGGACCCCGCGACGAGGAACCAGCTAGTTGGCGTGGCCCGCAGGCTCTGAACGGTGCCATGGAAGGTCATGGCACCTGTCAGCGGCCCCGCACCGCGTCCTGCCGGACATGTAATCGGCGCGGCCGCCTTGCTGCGTCGACCTCACTGCTGCTGCTGTCGTTGCTGTGGCCCACAGTGGCGCCGGTGGCGCATGCCGCTGGCTCAGAGGCGACCGCCTATGTGACGCAATCGGGTGATTGCGGGCCCGTTGCGCCACAGGTGAGCGCACGGGTGCTGCGCCCCAAATTCTAGATCTGATCCTGCACACGGGAGTGTCCATTCTGTCCGCGCGGTGACGCACGGACTTCTGTGCGCCCCGCTCGCGGCCGCAGGGCACTGGCAGGTGCTACACGTTGCAGGTGGGCGCGCAACGCCCTCTGGCGGCGACGCGCAGTCCCACTGCCAGCGGCCGCGGCCGCCGCAAAGCCGTGTGCAAAATTCCCGCCAGCGGGTAGCGCAAAGGGCGGGATTTTGCGACCAGTGATGCAGCCCCGGGTCGGGCTCTTCAGTTGAGGAATGCTCAAACACACAGTCTCTACACACCTATGCGCACGCGCCCGACCGCACGCGCGTCTGCAGGAGGCGCTGCGCGACCCTGCAGTGGCGCGTGTCAGCATCCTGGAGGACCTGCGGCTGGCCTTCGCGGGGTGGGGCCAGAGCGGGTGCGCGCGCGCGGGACAGGCGCGGGCGGCGCACGCACGCACGCACGCAGCTGGATTTTAGCTGGGGACGGGGCAGCCGTCGCACAGCGGCAGCACCTGTCGATAGCGCGCGGCGGCTGCCCCTGTCCCGCTCGGGGTTTTCCTCGGCCTTGCGTGCGCGCAGCAGCTGTGGCAGCGCCGTGACTGGCTTCGTCCCCTCCCCGAAAACCGCGAGCTCTGACAACGCTGTATACACACGCATGCACTCGCTGCCCACGCAGGGGCGACCCCTGGCTGACCGTGAGGCGGGACGTCGTAGTCGCGGGCGCCGCGGCCGCTGGCGGAGCCGCTGGTCCCGGCGCGGGCGGCGGGCGACCGCCGTCCGTTGACTTTGACTTTCTGCGGTCCATCGTCCTGATCGGCGCGAACCGCAGTGTGACCCTCAGGGGGCTCGAGGTGCTGCACTCCTACAAGGACTCCTCCATCGCGGTATCACCCTTTGTCGGCGCAGGTGGGTGCGGGTTGGGGGAGCTGCAGAGGGGGGGGGCGAGGCCGGTTGGGTGACGAAGACGGGGCCGTGCGGCGCGGCGCGATGGCCCGGGTGCGCCAAGAGGAATGGCGGTCATTTGCAGGCTAATCGCAGGTCCCGCAATCGTCAGCCGGCCAGCTGCGCCCGCGGCTGTCACTTTGCCGCAGCCGGGCACGCGCAGGCCCTTCCCTCACTGGTGCCACCTGACGTCCCTCCTGCGTCCGGCCGAATCCCCGCACACCCCCACACCCGTGACTCAGCCAACAGCACCCTGATCCTGGATGACGTCATCCGGCGGCGCCCCATATGTTCAGAGCCCCTGCACACGCTCCAGGTGCGCAATGTGCGGCGCCTCAGCCCCCGACGCTCTGCATCGCCCTCACGACCCCCAGGGCGTGCTGTCCAACTGGAGCACGCACCCGCCGCTCTCAGCCCGCACTCCCCTCGACTCTCTCTCGACGCTTGCGCCGCCGCCTCATCTCATCCACTGCCGCCCAGCGCTACGAGGCGCTGCCGCGGCCCCCTGGCTACCCGGGGCAGCAGACCATCAGCTTCAGGAACGACTACTGCAGCACAGACAGGTGCGCGCCGCCACTGGGGTCCGATCAACGCTGAGACCTCACACCCTCCCCGACGCCATGGCCTTGGCCATGGCGGACTGCTGTAGGGCGCCGCCGCTGGGGAGAAAAGGGTTGGAGCGCTGGGATTGGGGGAGGTTCATGGCATAATGCGGGGTGGACCGGCCTGGTTTGGGGCGGAGACACGCTCCGGGACGCGCGCGTGAGGGCAGCCTGGCGGACTGCGGGCGAGCTCTTGCCTCTGCGCACCTAAGCGTACCCCGCATTTGCCGCCAGGTGCTTCCCCGGGCCGTCCCTGCACTACGACGACGTCGCGGTGGCTGTGGCCACCCCTGCGAACGAGCTCACCAGCGCACAGCTGGCTGGTGTGCAAGGGGGAGGGTCTGGGGCTGGTTTTGGGTGTCAGCGACGGAGGTGCCGGCGAGTCGGGCCCTGTCAGCCGAGCCGCAGCCCCTCTGCCGGCTTGCGGGGATGGCGACACGGGGGGATGACCGCTCCCAGCCGTCGACGACGCCGCGCCCTGTGCTGGTGTGTCGCGGTCAAGCTGCTGGTCCTGATGCGTGGTGGTCGACCCTGGCGGTGACGTGCGCGTGACCGTGAGCAAATCTGCCGTGCCCTGTCCGCTCCCGTACCCCGTCGCCCCTAGGCTACACCCTGGTGCTGCGCAATGTCACGCGTCTGTGCCTGTCCTACGTGACTCCTGAGTGTGTCCAACAGCAGGGGGATGACGAGTGCCTCGCACAGGTGGGGCAGGGGAGGGGTTGCGTGTGTGTGTGTGTGTGTGTGTGTGTGTGTGTGTGTGCGTGTGCGTGTGTGTGTGTGCATGTGTGCGTGCGTGCGTGTGTGTGTGTACACATGTGTGCACTTGTGTGTGCCGCACATCGTGTGCATGTGCTTGTGCGTGCGTGCGTGCGTGTGTGTGTGCGTGTGAGAATCTATTTTTGTGTGAGGCAGACGGTGTGTGCGGGTGATTCTGTGTGAGCAAGTGTGTGTGGGCGTGTTTGTGAGCTTCTGGGGTGTGCACAGAGGCGTGTGATAGCAGGCGTGAACGTGCACGTTGTCTTGCGTGGCGCGGGTGCGTGGCGGACAGCTTCAAGTAAAGGCACACAGACGAAGCAGGCATGGCGGGGTGCAAACGCTGGACGAAGGCAGAAGGTCGAGCGGCGTGGCGGCCGGCTGTGAGCTCGCGCTGAGGGTTGCACACCTCGGCCCTCATCGCGTGGCCCACTGGCGGCCAGCGCTGCGGCGGCAGTATTCTTGCCTGTTCCAGTGCACCGAGCCGTATTGCCCAATCTTCCCCACTACTGTCTGTGACCGCAGGGGCTGGAGGACTACATAGCCGCACTCAGGTCAAACGAAAGCAAGCAGGGCCCCAACGGCCGCGGCGGCGCGATCGCCGGCGCCGTCGCTGGCTCTGTGGGCGGCGCGCTGCTAGTCGCGCTTGCGGGGCTGCTGCTCGCCCGCCGGCGGCGGCGTCGCCGCCGTGAGAAACGCCGTGCGAACGGGCCCAAGTGGGGCAGCCTGCAGGACAGCGCGGGGGCTGTGTACGACTGGGTGACGCACCAGGTGGCGGGGGAGGAGGAGCAGCAGGGGCCGCTGCCAGACAAGGTGCAGCTCGGGGTGCTGCTGGGCACAGGCGCGTTCGGACGGGTGAGCGGGCGCACGTCGAGGGATTGAGGGGGGAATTGAGAAGAGGGGTTCAGGGGAAGGGGTTGAGGGGGTTCGGAGGGGTTGAAGGGGGATCAGACCCCATACCCGCGGGATCCAATGGGAGACAATGAGGTCTGCGCTGCTGGGATGTACCGGCTGCAGGGCTTTGTCATGCCGCGAGCAGGGGGGTGCGGTTCGGGGATGATCAGGCAGCGAGCGCAGGGGGGCAGGGCTGGGGTGTGACGTATGTGCTGCAGCTGCCATTGCCAGCGCGCCTGCCTGCGTGCATTGTGCACCAGCTCAACACGGCTGCTGTGCCGAACACACTCCCAGACACCGTACTGACAAACGGACACGCATCACCACCCGCAGGTCTACAAGGCGCGCTGGAGAGGTGCGCGCCGCCCCTGCAGCCCGCGCAGCGCCGCCCGCGCCTCCGTTGCTCTCGCCCGCTGCTTCTGCCCTGCGTCGCCGCGGCTGCGAACGGCCCTACCCTGGTGTTCGGCGGCGGGCCGAGGGAGGGCGGTGCGGCGCATCTCTTGATGATGGCGCTCTGCAGGGCTGCGCAGCACTCTGCCGTCGGCTGGGCGCCACCCCTGGGGCCGGCCCCAGCCTGGGCAGGCCCGCATCATCCAGCCCAAGCCCCAACTGACACGCACGCCCCGCAGCACCTGTCATTGCACCACACGCTCACACACGCCCCCACAGCACACCCGTTCCCCCAAAGGCATGGATGTGGCCGTCAAGGTGCTGCAGCACGACCAGCGCAGCAGCGCGGAGCGCATTCAGAACGAGGGTGAGCCCCCTGCCCGGCCCCGCGCCGCTGCCCTCGATCACTCGCCGCGGCCGCCGCCGCCCTGCGCCACCCCCCCCCCCAGACCATGTACCACGGAAAGCCTGCGTTTACCCGCGCGTGCGGCGCAGCTGCCGCGCCGCTGCTGCCGCTCCGTGTTCACACATACACTTTCGCAACCGGCCCCAACCACTTCGCCATGCCGCGTCCCAGGGCGTGACATTGCTTGCGCTGCACCCCCCCCCTC